TGCTCATTGTTGACATATATGGCCTCTTTTACCTCTCTTTCAAACCAATGTCCACTCTATCCAGAACGTGGACTTTGCTGTCTTCAAAAGAGTGGCCTTTGTCCAGTGGTGGGATTCAAATAATTTAACAACCAGTTCTCTGCCCTAATGACTGGCTGGGTGGGCATGGCAGCACTTGGCCTCCTGCACCTCCCTGGGAGCAAAAATGGGTTGTGGGGGGTGCCTCACCCCCATGCCCCGTTTTGGGCCTAGTAGGCCTCCCTGCAGCCTCCTGGGAGCAAAAACAGGCCACTGGGGGACTCCTGGAAGATGAGGGAAGGGGAGGGGCCAGACAGCAATTTAACCTGAACCGGCCTGAACCGGCTGAATCCCACCACTGTCTTTGTCTTTCAAATGCAGATGGACTGTTGAATCCAATCCTGGTGGATTTGTTCTCCTATGGTGTGCCATGTGTTCGTGAAAGGGTTTTTTGTTTGTTTGTTTCACCAATGTGTAGATCTGCACATGTCCCATTGCATTGCATTGCATATATCACATTGTTCAGCTAAAAAGTCCAGTTGCCTTTTGGAAAAATAAAAAAACCCTACCTTTGAGACAAACTGTAACCTGGATGACAGAATCTCCACAGAGAAAGAGTCAAGATCCTCTTCTCTGAAGTAAAACACCACTCAGCTTAAGCTTGGGAGCAAATCAGATACGACAATTAGGAATTAAAAGGCAAAACTGCCAGATCAAATAACAATTAAATTCCTACCCTGTTCCTCCTTGCACCCCCACCCCACCCCCTGCAATCTTTGCTGTCTGTAAAATTAGGTGGGAAACATTACAGGGAGTTTTTTAAAAAAAATTAAAATAATGTTTTCAGAAGAGAATAATTAGAGCTGTGCAAATCTCCTTGCTATTCATCTTTTTTAATATCCCCCAAAGTCTTAAAATGTAGTCAAATTTATTCAAGGGTCCCTGGAGAACTTCAGTTCATTGCAAGGGAGCGTCATGGGGGAAAGATCATTTTCTCACTGGCACATGTCTAGTCAGTGTGGCTGCTGAGTATGGGAAAACCCCATCGCACCATCCCATAGAATTTTAAGGGTCCTCCAACTTGGATTGTACCCCATATGTCAGCCCGGGAGCCATTTTTTTCCTGGCATCTTCAGGGCTGCCACAGCAGAGGCCGTGGAAATGGAAGGGGGGGAGGTAGAGATAGCAAAGGAATTGTAACCAAAATAAAATTCTTTCCTCTGAGAGCCAAAGACGTTCCCACCAGGTGCAAGAAGGCGGGGTGTGAGTCCTGATGAACTTTGGACTGCAACCTGATAGGGGCCATGCGATGGACTGCATGGACCGAGGGAGGAAAATTGCAATTTTAACTATGGGGGAAACCTGAGGGGGCTTTAGAGTCGGGTTTCCCCAGATCAGTGGTGGGAATCAGCCGGTTCGGGCTGATTTGGATGAACTGGTAGTTAAATTGCTGGCTGGCCCCGCCCCTTCCTGCCTTGCCCCTTCCAGGAGTCCCCCCACACTCCATTTTGGCTCCTAGGTTAGTGGAGGTAGGCCTACTGGGCCCAAAACGGGGTGCGGGGTGTGTGGTTCCCCTCCCCCACAGCCCATTTTCGCTCCCAGGAGGCTTCAGGGAGGCCTAGGCCCAAAACGGGGTGTGGGGGGTATGGTGCCCTCTCACTGGTTCACATCTTTTGAGAAACTCTATTTCTCATAATAGATCATGTTCTCCATAATAGCATGTAGGAAAAATCTGGTGGTTTTTTTTTTCCTTCCATGCTATTATGACTTTTCTTTCTCTTTTGTCCTCTCATCAAAAGTAGAACTGGATAGATGGATGGATGGATGGATGGATGGATAGTTAGATAGATAATGTTCTGCTCTAGCAAATGAATTTGTTGGTTTTTGTGTGTGTGTATGTGTCTGTGTATTTCTGTGTATATATCTATTTGCTAAAGCAGCAATTTGTGATAGAAAGCATTCTCAATGGATCAAATGAAGATATTCTCAGTTGAAGAGGGATCCTCCTTTGAACATATCTTTCCCTTGTTCTGATGATAGTCACCTATTTGGGGAGAATCAAGAAGTGAGCGTTCTACTTCTGTGGAGAGACAGCCCACAGTTCTGCTGCCTCCTTTGAAATAAATAAGGGCTCTAATATGTGCTATTGCCAAGACAAAAGTCTCCCAGTTACTGGCTCCTTTGAGAAATCAACGTTTCATGATGACTCCATGATTGGATTTGGGTGGTAAGAATTTGGTGAGAATACATTGGCCAATACATTTAGAGATGGCCTTTTAATTTCCATTATGGGCAACCTGCAAATGTTTTCTACTCACCCCGAGCATAATACTGTAAGCAAATTCTAGCAACGAATAATTAATTGTTCTGATATGCAGTGAATTGATGAAGGTAACCTTGGTCTTCCTTACATCTTTATAAACCAAGGTGTGAACCAAGTACGAAATGCCAACATCTCGTCCTTAGTGGAGAACCGACGTAAGCTATGAGTTAACCACAGAAATACAGTCAATTTGGCAGGATCCTTTACCCCATTTCTCTATAGTCTTCTAGTTGGGCAGGAGAAAAAAAAACTCAAACAAATCTGCCTTTTAAAAAAAAAAAATCAGTTCTCATCTGGACTGATGAAACTCTTTCCAAGAAATGATTATTGGCTGAGTGGGATGCTTTTATGTTTATTTTAGCAACCAAGAAGAGGTGTGCTTATGTTGTGGCCCGTCGGCTGCCAGCAGAACTAGCTGCAGAGTCAGATGAACAGGAGGTTGAGGGAGAGCCTGGGCCAGCTTCGGAGCCTTTGGAAGGCTCAGATGAGGAAGCAGCATCAGAGACAGAGGCAGAGCGAGGGCCTTCCATTCTCCCCCAGGTGGAGAGGCAGCTATCTTCGGGGCCTGAGCTGAGTGAGAGGGAGGAACAGATGGGGCCCATCCCAGATGTGCGTATGCACAGAGGGAAAAGGAGAGGAGAGCAAAGGAAAACAATAAGCTGGCTCTCAGGGAAAGGAAGAGGTAGACGCTAGCCAACTCCTCCCTGGCTGGAAAATAAATGGGAGGGGTTTGGGAGTGGCCAGTTGTCACAGACAATTTGGATTCCTTGGGCAGAACCAGGTTTGTTGAGAATAATTATGTTTGATTTTTTTTTTGTTTATCCACATGAATAAAAGACTGTTACTGCACTGTTATAAAAGGGGGGGGGTTACTCGCGAGTAAGCAGCCTATCATTACTTGCAAATGCTGAGTCAGAACAGCCAGGGGTGGGATTCAAAAATTTTAGCAACTGGTTCTCTGCCCAGTTGCTGGGTTGGCACGGCCATGGTGGGCGTGGCCTACTCAGCCTCTTGCACCATGGGGGGGGAGGTGTTTTCACCCTCCCCAAGCTCCAGAGGCTTTTGTCGAGCCTCCAGGAGGATGAAAATGGCCTCCCCCGGGCTCTTGAAGTTAGCCTATTGCAAATTATCAGCTTCCTGGGGTTTTTTGGGGGATCAAAATAATATATTCCAGAGAGGCCTCATTGCATTCTTAGAAAAAAATGTTGCAAATTGGTAAATTGCTGGTAGGCTTTCATGCAATGCTTTCTTTTGGGGTGTCCACCTGTTCAAAACAGCTGCAACGATGACAACAAAAATGGAAAGAAAACCATGGAATTTCCATGGAACCATGGAAAAGACCACATTTTTAGGTTATCAGGGGTGAGGGGACCATGACCTCACCGATTTGCTTTTGGGACTTTGGTCTATTGTAATCACCATCTGTAATTGTTCAAGCATCTCATGGTAGCCACTTGGTCAGAACGTTCTCACAATTCTGAATCTGTTCATTGGCTGGATAAAATAAAACCGAAATGTTCTTCCTGACTGACAGTGAACTCTCAAATTTAATTCAGGAGATGGGCAAACAAACTCAGTTTCAACATTTCACTGCATATAGAACACAAACTGTGTTTCAATCAATCTTGTGACAAATGTCTACTATTATTGAATGAAAAGCACTGCAGATATTGTTCAGGAATGATTATTTGCTCTCTGAGCTGTACTATCTATTTATTCATACTACATGATTATATTAAATGTAGAAAGGTTATGTTTAGTTTCAAACCCAATTCTGTTTTGTTGGTAGTTCTTTTCTGTTTGTTTGTTTGTTTCCTTCTTCTTTGTTTCCCCTCCCTCTCATTTTATTTTCTTTAAGACCAAAAGAAGTAAATACAGTAGATGACATCCCAATTATAAACAACTCCAGTGTTGCATGTGAGAAATTATTATTATTATTATTATTATTATTATTATTATTATTATTATTATTATTATTATTTTGCTCCACAATGACACATCGAACTAGCCAATATATTCAATTGGGTTTGCATTGAGTGTTGAAATCGGTACCCACATTTTAATTTGCACAAAGTTTATTATTCTGTTGATCAGATCTGCATGCCCTTAAAAAGTGAATTCACATTTTTTTTTCTCTCTCATCGTTTTTCTTCTTAGTTTTGTTTTCAATGTGATGACATGGTTCCATTGATTTGAACTTGTTTTGTTTTTTCTTTTTTTTATTAGATTTCTTTTCCCCTGTAGTGAAAATTTAGAGAAAAATAAAATAAAAGGTATTTGGTGTTCAATTCTTTGATATTCTTCAGGAGACGATTAAACTAACTCGTGAAAAGAAAGATTAAAAAGTTGTTGACATTGGTTGCTTTACTTAATTGCACATCTTGGGTATGATTATAATTTCTTTCTAATTTGCATGTTTACAGAAATGAAGACAGAAATGAGAGCCAATTTAAATTAAAGAGGGAGTGAGAGAGAGGAGAGAAAGAAAGAGAGGCAGAGAGAAAGAAAGAAAGGAAAAGAAAAAAGAAAGAAAGAAAGAAAGAAAGAAAGAAAGAAAGAAAGAAAGAAAGAAAGAAAGAAACAAACAAACATGAGCAAAGAAGTGGTTGTCTGAAATAATGATATGCATGTTATTTTCCCTTTTCCCACCTGCATGCAGGGATTTGGTTTCGTTACTTTCGAAAATAGTGCTGATGCGGAAAGGGCGAGGGAGAAATTACACGGCACCGTGGTAGAGGGCCGTAAAATCGAGGTGCATGTTCAAAATATTTTCCTTTTCATCTTTTTTATAAATGTTTGCCTCACATTCATTCGTTGTTTCAGATCCATCATTAATGTCTCTTCTGTGTTTCCCTTTTTCCTTCCCATTGAGATATTTTATTTATATATATATATATACACACACACATATATATATATGGAATATGTTATATATAGTTACGATTACGACCTATTATATAATACGATACAATATTGTATAATGTACAAATTTTTTTATATATATATATTATATGTATGTAAGTACGTATATGTATGTATATATGTATATATATATATATATATATATATACACCTGGCCTAACTTGGTTTGGTTATTTTATTATTTCCTTTCTGTATGTGGTTTTTGTTTTGTTTTTTAACATTTTTTTCCCAGTTTTTGTTTTTTAACCATCGTAATTACAGCTAAAAAAAAAGAAAATTGTATGCCAGATGTGTGACGAGCTTTAATACCGTGCTATGATCTGAAAGGTTTTGTAAGTTGATGGGTGCAATAGATTTAAAAAAAAATAATAAAAAAATTGGAAAAACTTTCAAAATTAAATGTTGAAGCAAAACAATAAGGCCTTATTTTATTTGTGTGTGTGTGTGTGTGCGTTTAACTTTTTTTGTTTGTTTGTTTGAACCTTTATTTGGGAATTCTATTTCTTTTTTGTTTTTTTCCTCCTTTTCTTTTAATTGCAGGTTTGATGCAGGATTTACAGTGGCTTTCCAAATTATCTTTTGGCTAACTACCCCAGAAAAATTCCCATTTGAATAGCCATTCATTTAGATTCACCAAACAAACAAATAAACATGGACTTTGTTTCCATTTTGGACAAATGCCCAGCTAAGTTCTCAGAAGGTTTAAAGTTCCTTCTAATTTTCATTCCCAAAAGTGATCATCTCATTGCATATAAAGATTTATAGATAAATCTATCTATCTATCTATATCTATGGTATATCTATATCTATATATATCCTTAAACCACTGGATCCAATTCAACACTGCCTGAGTTGTATTTGTTAGAATCTTAAAAGCGAAAAAAAGAAAGAAAGAAAGAAAGAAAAAACCAATTGAAAATTGCTGTCGTTTTTGAGTAAGATGTTGCATATTTTGCCTTTCCATTCTCCCTTTTCGGCGGTAGCTCTTAGGGCCCTCACCATCTCAGTAACCATGGTAACTGTATACATGCCCCATTCTGGCGATGGTGCTGACTGGTAAGTGGAGAAGTCCATCTACCGTTTCACGTATCTTATCTAAAGCGCTGATATCTACCACATGAATTTTTTTGACTTGTCGTCTTAAGTTTTCTTGATGCTCTCTATTTTTTATTTTTATTTTTTATTATTATTATTCTCTATCTCTATTATCTCGATACGCCTGTCAATGAGTGTCCGTTTTAAGCAAGTCTTGGAGACACTGACTGAACTTAAGGATATGAATTTTGTGCACATCTTACTCAGATCGTTAATTCCATATTGTGTTAAATAATGCACCCTCTTTTTTATCCTTTCGTTAGCTGTGGTTTTTTGAAAGCTTGAATGGTTTTGTTAGTTTCCTTGCAATGAATAAACGAGGCTCATGTTCCCCCGATGTTGAATGCTACGTGTTGCTTTTCCAATGGTACATTTTGAAAGGGTTATGTTGCACACTGCTAAGATTTGTCCTTCTCTTTTTTTTTTTACTTTTTCGTTCTCTTTTTTGATGTTACTTATTTTTCCCCCCTTGCGTACCTTGTCTCTTTCCCCTTTCTACTCCACTGCATGCTCTTTCATACAGTTTTTTTTAATGTTCTGTTTTTAAATATTTTATCGTTTCAGTGTTACCATGGAATATATAAAAGAAGCATGCTCTTAAATCTTCAATTATGCAAAGCCTTTTAATTTGCTTTTAATGTCTCTTTATTAAACTTTAAAGGAAATGGTGTTACTTTATTGAAATGATTTGTAAGTTTTATAAAACGACGATGAGAGTAAATGTAATTATAAATCGTATGATTTTGTTATGCGCCTCCTGCCTTTTATTAGTTTTATTATTATTATTTTGTTAATTTGGGGGAAATAAATTAAATTGCATTTTAAAATGCCAAAAAATAAAGCATGCATTCATTATTATCATGGATCTTTTTAATCTTGAAGAAGTGTTACTGATTTCTTGTTTTCTATGTGCTTAGGTAAATAATGCAACAGCACGGGTCATGACGAATAAGAAGACAGTTAACCCTTATACAAACGGTAAGAACTAGAAATTGAGTTTTTTTCTTAGTTTCCATTTCCTGATCTGCCTAAGGTAGGACTACATAACAGCAGTGAAATCCACTTACCTTCGCTACCGGTTCGGGAACTGGAGCACAAGGGATGTGCATACGCAGAAGAAGTATGCTCACCTCTTCTGCACATGCGCAGAGCCTTCTATGCATGCACAGAGGGTCAAAAATGGGATGTAATGATGTCCCAGCAGGTGAGTGGAGCATCCCGCTGCTGGCGCTACCAGTTTGCACAAGTCGGATAGATTTGGCCGGATTTCACCGCTCCTACATAACCTTATCCTGGTCAGCTAAAGAGCTGTGGTGGCGCATTGGTTAGAATGCAGTACTGCAGGTTACTTCTGCTGCCTGCAATTTGGCAGTTCAAATCTCACCAGGCTCAAGGTTGACTCAGCCTTCCATCCTTCTGAGGTGGGTAAAATGAGGACCCATGGTGGGCATGGCCTAGTCAGCCTCCTGCACCATGGGGGGGGGCATGTTTTTGCCCTCCACGGGCTCTGGAGGCTTTCCTCGAGCCTTTGGGAGGGTGAGAATGCCTCCCCAGGCTCCAGAGGCCCTCTGGAGGCTGGAAATGGGCCTGTTTCTGGTCTTCCTGAACTTCTGGTAGGCCCGTTTTTTACCCTTACCGAGCCTCCACGTACGCCCTGCACTTACCTGCATCTAAAATGGGCTGCGTGGGGACTCCTGGAAATGGAGGGTGGGAGGGACCAGCCAGGAGTGGGATTTGGGGGTTTTCTGAACTGCACAGAATCTTAGCTAGAGGTTCTCCCGAACCCCTGTGAACCCCCAGCAGCCCACATACCCACATTGAAGTAAGCATCAGTGACAGTGCTGTGATCAAGCAGGGAACTGAACCTTCTCTTCTGACCCTTAGCCAAATACTCTAATTTCTGCTCTTGTTATTGTCAGTTAAAGAATTATTAAAAAGTTATTGCAGATTGGATCCTTCGTTGTACTTTGTCACAGCAGCAGAAACTTTTCTGTCTCTATACTTTCCTTTAAAAAAAAAAAAACCTGGGATATCAATTTCAGCTTTTGAAAAATTCTTTTTGAAAGCTTTGGAACTGAACATATCGCAACCTTCCATTTGGCCTGTTTCCAATATCCTGTAGCTTTCTAAAGAAGGATCTGATTACCCTGACTTTTCTTTAAAAAGAGAGAGAGAGAAAGAGAGAGGAAATTTTACACAGCTTGATCAAGAAGGAATCAAATGCAAAATATTTATTTTAATCCTCCACACATTATGCAGTGCGTTTGTGAAATATTTTCCTTCCATCATTGACAGTGGGGCAAAGATGAGTGGACAGTTTTATTTTTTAATGATCCTATCATGGATATCTCTACCCATCGTGGCAAAATTAAAAACAAAATATGAGCTGGGTTTGACATATCGTGATTAAGCAAGTTACAGTACATCATGGAGAAAGTCTGCTTTGTAAAATTTTCTGATTTTTCTTGGAGAAAACCTGTCACTCCCTGGACCACCTTGATTTAAATATAATTAATAGCAATAGCATTTAGACTTATATACTGCTTCATAGCCCTTTACAGCCCTGTCTAAGCAGTTTACAGAATGAGCCTATTGCCCCCAACAATCTGGGTTCTCATTTTACCCACCTCGGAAGGATGGAAGACTGAATCAACTTTGAGCCAGTGAGAATCGAACTGCTGTCAGTGGGCAGAGTTAGCCTGCAATACCGCATTCTAAGCACTGTGCCACCACAGCTCTTATTAATTAATCCAAACAAGTCAAATGAAGACCGGTTCTTTATTCCCTAACTTTTGCCCCAAATGCCATTACAGGTAGTCCTCAACTTATGACCACAATTGTGCCTGAAATTTATCTTGTTAAGTGAGACATTGGTTAAATGAGTTTTGTCCCATTTTATGACCTTTTTTGCCACTGTTGCTAAGTGAATCTCTGCAGTTAACGAGTTAATAACGAGTTAAGTGAATCTGGAGTTTCCCCATTGACTTTGCTCATTAGAAGATCCCAAAACGGGATCACATGACATTGGGACACAGCCGCGGTCCATAAATATGACTCAGTTGCCGAGTATCTGAATTTTGGGGACACTGCAAAGGTCATCATAGGGACACTGCAAAGGTCATAACTGTGAAAAACTGTCATAGGTCACATTTTTCAGTGCCGTTGTAACTTTGACACTAAATGAACAGTTGTAAATCAACAGCTACTGAGGTAAGAGTTGTGGTTGTCATCATCCTCTACAACAAAATCAAGAAGCTCACAGGTCAAGGCATCTTATTTTGTTTGTTCAAAATATGTGCATTATCCCTAAGTTAAATTAGTTTGGTGCATTAATTAATTTACCTATCGATTCGCCCAGCACCAAAGATGTGAGCGCGCGTGCGGCCACCTCCGCACATGTGCCTGGCCTTCCGCGCATGTGCTTTGCTCATGCGTGCGCCATTGGCAGATTTGCTGTGAAAGGTTTTTATCCTATGATCCAGCACACTTTGACAATCTCCCGTGAAAGCGAAACATTGTCAGCGCTATCTGCGCTGTGCTCCCCACCACCTTTTGAAGTTTCCCACTTCCCTTCCCAGCTCCACCCCATTGCTCCTCCCTTAGCCTAGCTTCCGCCTATTCACCCCCACCCCCACCAACCAGCAATTAGTCTTGGTTTGTCAATCCCGACAGCCTGCAAGGGTGGCGGCTTTTACTCCCAATAAGCACCCGGCCCTGAACATCAGCTGTCTTTCCTCAAATGTGAGGGGGCAGCAAAAATGGCGGCACCCACAGGACCAACTCCATGTCAGTCCTTAGGGCTCGCTGCAGTGGCAGTAGCATGCAAAAAAAGGTATTGGGGCTCTAGGGTATTACGCTGGTCTCGCTGGTGGCCAGGATAGAAGCAGCCATGTCAGCGGCAGGTTCAGGGTAGTTAGACTTGCGGACTGGCGGTCTTCCCCTCCAGAATGGCAGCCTGGCAGATTGGAGCTGACACGTGCCTAAATAGGATAGCATAGAGCCAGGGTGGGTGGGTAAAGGTGGGCCCACCCACAATTTCCGCTACCGGTTCGCCCAAACCTGTCCGAACCTGCTGAAAACCACCTCTGGTTTGGTGTATATTGTTGTGACCCAGGCCCAAGTAGTTAGTATTAAATACAAACAGTTTGAAAACAAACAGGCTTTATTAGAACAGCTGAGAATTAACTCATTCTCAGTGTAGTTCAAAGTAAATGAAAGCAAATTCTTCAAAACACCATTCCTCAGTTTATCACCGACCTTGGGATAATTAGGCAAACTGTCAAAGGCTTTTCTTGGCATAAGTTCAGAAGACGCTGACAAGAAATGAATACAGTGAAACAAGAAGCAAGAAGTAATTGTTTTGTTTATTGTTTTAATTAATGGGGCCAAATTTATATATATATATTTTTAACTGTATTTTAATATTTGTATTTGATGTTTTTATTTGGCTGTTCACCGCCCTGAGTCCTCAGGGAGAAGGGCGGTATACAAATTCAAAAATAAAATAAAATAAAATAAAATAAATTCTCTCAACAGTTGTTTTCCGGCGAAGAGGCCAAGAGCCATTGCTGGTCTTCTAAGCCTTATGAGAGGGGCCAATCATATCTTGGCTCTACTCCCGAGTCGTCCTCTCTGCTTTATTTGCTCCTGCCTTCTGGCAGCTCTTCTCATACGTGCACTAGGAACAGGCTCCTCCTGTTCCTCTGCCTCTCTATTGTCAGCCTCTGGAGGCTCCAAAGTCCATGCATCACTCCCCGATGGCCCTGGCCCCATCTCTGCCTCCGATGCAGAGCCCTCATCTGGGCCTTCCCCAGCGTCCAGGACTGGCCCATATTCTTCCTCAGCCTCATCGCTCTCCAAATCCTCTGCCAGCTCCGCAGGGTTCTGGTGGACCACAACATATATATTTGAATATATACATACACATTCTTTGAGCAGAACTCTTTATCTCTTTCTTCTTATTAACCCTGGCTTTGTTAAAAGAACAATCTTTTCACATGCAGTCATTCACACAAAATCCCCTGTCTTTTCAGCAAGCTTCTTTGGCTTCTATAAGCTTTCTTCATTTCAGTAGCTCCCAATTTTTGATTCCCTGCCCCACCCCCCATTGCTGAAGGTTGACTAGGATCACAGATTGCAGAGGCCCAATCTGCTCTCGGGAGAAATAGGGAGATGGAGCTATCAGGGAACCAGGAATGATGGAATTGTGCAAAGGTTGCCCTAGCTATTATCTTTCTGATAAGGAGTGAGGGCCAAATTGAGGTCCAGGCATTGTTCTAACAGTGCAGTCGTACTATCAGAAAAAAACATTTTAAAAAGGTAAAGGTTCCCCTGGCACATATGTGCTAGTCGTTCCCGACTCTAGGGGGCGGTGCTCATCTCTGTTTCAAAGCTGAAGAGCCATTGCTATCCGAAGACATCTCTGGGGTCATGTGGCCAGCATGACTCAATGCCAAAGGCACACGGAACGCTGTTCCCTTCCTACCAAAGGTGGTTCCTATTTTTCTACTTGCATTTTTGACGTGCTTTCGAACTGCTAGGTTGGCAGAAGCTAGGACAAGTAATGGGAGCTCATCCCATCATGCAGCTCTAGGGATTCAAACTGCTAACCTTTCGATGGACAAGCTCAGCGTCTTAGCTACTGAGCCACCGCATCCCTTTTAAACAACATTTAGACAGTGTGTGGGGGGGGGGGGGAGGAAAAGAAGCAGCCCATCTTTCTGAAAGATTTCCTGGCAGTGATTTGGAGAGTGCAGGAAGAGATTCAGGGCAAGGAGAGATGCCTGCTGAGTTTTCAAGGGTTCAGAAGATGGGAACACAAAGAAAGGAAGAAGCAAAAAAGGCTAAGAAGAAAGAACCTTTCTCCTTAATACCAAGTTTCTGCTTTGTCTTTGGAATAAGGGCTAGGAAAGAAGATCAGCCAAGCAGCTTCTAGGGATTAGCACTGCCAAAGAAGATTGTAGCACAATACCGCAAGTTTCAGAATAACAAGTTTTGAAAACGCCATAAAAATAAGAGCCATATCTTGTTTTCATTGTCCAAGATAGCAACAACTCAATCATCCATAGAGGAGAGCCCCCCTTTTTTTTTTAAACGAAAGACAATATCTCTCTCCTCATCTTCCTTTCAATGCTGGCAGCTAAAACTGCAGACCCTGTGAAGCTTTTCGATCACAACCACAACCTCTGCTTGGGGGGCGGGGGGGGGAGAATACCTAAAATATCTTTTTACGAGTTTTCACTCAATGTCGATGAGATCCTAGGTCCATGATGGCGAACCTATGGCACACATGCCAAAGTGGCGTGTGAAGCCACTCTGGTGCGCATGTGCACGCGAGATCAGCTATCCTTTGTGTTGAGTATTCAGTGTTGAAAACCGGCCCCAGCCAGCTGATCGTCGGGTATGCATCCTTGACTCTCTGAGAAAGGAATGTTATTATGACTATATATCACCCATATTCCATACAATCCCCCCTCCCAGTTTCCTACAGTAGTAAATGTGGCAGGCCTGAAGATCCAATGATCCAAGATGGCTTCCAGGTCTGACAGATAATATAAAACTAAAAATGCTAAAAGGCCGATTATATTTATGTATATGTAAATTCTATATACAAACGCAATGTATATACATATACAATTTAAAAGAGAATATACATATACAATAAGAAGAAAGCCGTTTGGTTAATAACCACAATAAAGTTAAGTAAGCATACACTAGGCAAGACGTCCTTGACTCTCTGAGAAAGGAATGTTATTATGACTATATATCACCCTGGCTTCATACAATCCCCCCTCCCAGATTCCCACAGTAGTAAATGTGGCAGGCCTGAAGATCCAATGCAAAAGATGGCTTCCAGGCCTGACAGATAATATGAAACTAAAAATGCTAAAAGGCCGGTTATATTTATGTATATGTAAATTCTATATACAGTACATATGCAGTGCATATACATATAAAATTTAGAAGAGAATATACATATACAATAAGAAGAAAGCCATTTGGTTAATAACCCCAATAAAGTTCTTCCTCATCCCAGACACTAAGTCTATCTATCTGCATAAGAGACAGATTGTTTTTCCCCTTTCCTGTCTGTTCTGGAAGTTTCTACCTGAGGTACGTGTTGTGACAGCAAGACAAATTCCGAGAACTACACCCACAGTGGTGAATTTACCTCCTCTAATGGTTGAGACCTGGTTCCTTGGCAGTTCCTCACTCGTACATGTCAAACTTCTCCTCACACTTGATTAACCCACACAGTTATGGGCCAGCAAATACTTCATTGACAAGACAAAGTAAAGTTTAATTGCTGTTATTTTCATGATAAATGAAGTCTTTGCAGAGTGAGCTTCCCCAAGTTAGATGATGCAGCCATCAAATTGGGCAGGAGATGAAATATGAGAGCAGGTTTCAGCTGAGATCATCGATCTGCATCTGCCCGAGCCCCATCTCCCCCTTCTCTCTTCCCGAAGACAAATTGAGGCACCATTAGTATAACTTAAAATGTCTGAGGTTATCTTTCAGCCTGTTTGACAGAGAAGTCTGACAGATGTGGAAAAACCAGCCCAAATGGCTTATCTGTGCAGAAGTGAAGAATAAAAAAGTATTCTAGAAAATTACACTTCGAGTAATTAAAGGCTTTTGATGCTTGAGTACTTGGCTTAGATCAGCTTGGAAGATTTGGGAGGAAGAAAATAAATATTTCATGCCTTCTTCCTTTTCTTTTCTTTTCTTTTTCTTTTCTCTCCCTCCATCCCTCTCCCTCCTTTTCTCCCACCTTCTGTCTCTCCCTTTCCCCCTCTCTTTCTCTCTTTCTACCCCCCCCCTCTCTCACACTGCCAGTGTGGTTTGTGGTCCTGTCAGTCATTCATCCAAGTATTTATCTGCTCCAACCCATCTTAGTTTTCTTTTAATTTATTTGTAGAACAAAATTTAAGTTCATACTGCGTTCTAAAGGACTGCAATAAGAGAATAGGTAGATAGACCTTGTAAAGTTGAATTCTGCTGTTATCTTCCATTAAAAACTTAGGGAAAGTTCTTGATATTTTGTCTGAAATTTACCAAAAGAAAATAACTCATTTTATGGGGGGGGGGAATGTTCCAGAAGTCAGAGCTAGGCGTGGTTCATTTATATATGAACTCACGTATTGTTGGGAAAACCAAGCCACAATGCTAAGGCGTGAAATGATTTATTAGGGCAAGCATGTTATATAAGTACACCACTGGAGTTTTCTTAATCCAGGTTTAGGATTTAGCGTGTTGTGAAAGTAAAGTCCTTTTAAGCCTATCCAATTTAAAACCAGGAAGAAGATTGTCTCTGTTCATCAAATGAAAAGAAAGTTATTTCTTCTTCTTCTTCTTCTTCTTCTTCTTCTTCTTCTTCTTCTTCTTTTTTTTTTTGCAAAGTTACACAGACTTGCATTAAGTGGGTAAATAGAATCTCCTTTTCATGAAATGGGCTGAAATTATATCCCGGTTTTTTAAATAAAAGATGCATATATTCCCCCTTCGTTTAATGGTCACTTCCACTTAAAGTGTGTATGTGTGTGTGGATGGTGGGTGGGTGGGTGGGTGGGGGCTTTTTAAGAAGCTTTAAAAGGTATTCTGGAAAAGATACACTTTGAAGGACACGATGCAATTCTTTAAAAGGTATAAAATAAAAATTGTACAGTCACAAACCGACAGTAATTAGAACATCATGCCATAACTTCAAATTTACCAAGTTTGGTTTCCTGTCTTTACTACAGGTTGGAAATTAAATCCAGTTGTTGGTGCAGTCTATAGTCCAGAATTCTATGCAGGTAAGCACACATGCTATGAAATCTTAGTGATGGCAGGTAACAGGATTATCCAAATGATGTGATTGGTTGCTGCTGGCCTATTTCTTTGATGGATGTGATAGAAGCCTCTCTCTCTTTGACATAATTCAATTATATTTATTAAGCGAGAACAAATAAAATTTCCTAGATCCTACTAACATTTAATTCTCTTTTGTTCAAATCATTGGCTTAATGGCAACATGCCAAATTATGTGTTATTAGAGAGAAAAGTTTGCCATCCAAAAAAAGGCATTGGTTGGTGTAACCTTATTTCCTACTATCCAAAGTTTGCTACTGCTTTACACAAAGCATCAGATCTCTATTACGGTAGATTCACTGAAGGCTTTTCTTCGAAGGACTTTTGTATCAATATTTTGCCAAGGAACCAAAGTCGGGAACTTTTCGGTCTAAACCCTGATAGAAAATAATGTCTCTGAAGAAGACATCCCTTTAAAACAGGATTATATTGTCCTGATTGTTGTAGAAGATGACCGGGTTGAGCCTGAGGGAGGGGTCAAATGCATCATAAGTTGTGAATCCCTGCGCATCTGCAAGAGATCTGAATCCAGCCTCTCTTATCTCCCGCTCATTTCCCTTAATGGCCAGTTGGTTAGATTCTTGCAGAGAGTTTAAATTTGCAATAAATCTTTATACTCATTTGAACTGCCTGGATCTCCAGATTTAACCCGGTGCTTGACAGTTGCCAATTTAAGGTCTCTATCTCCCTCCCTCCCTCCCTCCCTCCCTCTCTTCCTAAATGTATTACTCTTTGAATAGAGACCTTACTCTAATACAAGGGTCGCACAGTTTTCTTAATCCAAGTAACATCCCCAACCAAGTAAGACTCCGAGGCAAACAGTTCCTCAAAGATCCATCGTATTATGGATCTACTTCAAATTTACCCTACCGATCTGGTATACTTCTGGTGGTCCCACTTCTAAGGGCAGGGAGGTCTGATCCTGCTTATCGGTAGCTTTTCAAGAGCTCCAACTTTCCTAAGATAATAGACTATTTTTTTCTTTTTTTCCCCACTTCTAATATGCTTTCTTTTTAAAAAAAAAAAATGATGAGTTGCGATAGGGAATTTGGAAAATTGCAGATGTTAAACAATAACAAAGTTTTGCTTTGCCTTCTCTATGCAAATGCAAAATTTGATAAATTCGTATTCAGAAAAGAAGTCATGAATTTTTCTCCTTTCTCTACTGTAATACCTGTTTTGTTTCAAACCTTCATCAATAAACTTGGTTACTGAGTGCATTTTCCTCATCTAAGTGACTATGCCAGGAGAGTTAAAAAAAAGTACATACTGACAAAAATAAAAATGGCTAAAAGATAATGTCAGGGTCCCAAGTAACACTCCCAATGAAAGGAAACACCAAGGCTTGAGGTTCCTCAAAGTTCCATTTTATTAGAGATGTCATATTGGCACATCTGGAAAAAACCCGAATCTGAAAGTTCCCATGTTTTCCCACCCAAAAGAAAGTCCAAGTCCCTTCCCCTGCATCCACATGTCCATCACATGGCCCAATCAATCCACTGTCCCAACTGGAGATGCCTTCCAGTCACGCCACTCCAGGTGCAGGCTGAACGTCCTTGACTCTCAGAGAAAAGAATCTTGTTACAGCTAAATAACTCTACCGACTCCATGCAAACCCCCTCCCATTTTCCCACTGCACTAAGTGTGACAGCCCTGAACATCCGAAATAAAAGGTGGCCTCCAGGGCTGATACCCAGCATTAATATTATGGGAGTGTTGTACTATTTGGGCTTTTGGCAACAGGTTCTTCAGACTACATATGAGCAACATGCATCTTCTATTGAAAAGTGTTGCACAATAGCATGGGATCCCAGTTAGAGAGCTTGGCAACGTGCTTTCAAACAGATGTGGGGTTATGCTGTTGGTATCTTCTTAAATAGATTTATTTTTAGGGTTGCAAAGCTACTGTACTAGATGAGCTAGGAAAAGATACGCACTTGTATCTGCTCCAAAGGATCTTTTCAATTCTAGATCTGAAACAGATTCCTAGTTTTATATGCAGGAAAGCCAAGAGTGTCAACAGCATGAACATCCACATTTGCACATACGACATAGATATCTGTAGGAAGGGACCTTTAGGTAAGGGTTCCCCCACACATGCATGCTAGTCATTCCTGACTCTAGAGGGTGGTGATCATCTCCGTTTCAAAGCCGAAGAGCCAGCGCTGTCCGAAGACATCTCTGTGGTCATGTGGCTGGCATTACTAAATGCCAAAGGTGCATGGAACGCAGTTATCTTCCCACCAAAGATGGTCCCTATTTTTCTAGTTGCATTTTTGACGTGCTTTCGAACTGCTAGGTTGGCAGAAGCTGGGACAAGTAACAGGAGCTCACCCCATTACGCGGCACTAGGGATTCGAACCGCTGAACTGCCGACCTTCTGATCGACAAGCTCAGCGTCTTAGCCATTGAGCCACTGAGAAGAAGGAAACTTTAGCCTCTATAATTTCCTATCCAATCTTAATCATAGCCAATGAAGTGTAGCATACAGAAGCTGTTAAACAGCTGAAATGAAATCCCCACATTAGGCATTGTCTGAAATATTTTTATAAGTTCTCACTGATGAGGCCAAGTAGCTGGGTGATGTTATCTCAGGCAGTAAATAGGCTGAAAACTAGATAAATGAGTTTTCTATATGACTTCCTGCCCCTAGCAATGCCCTCTGATGTTAATGTATTCTGAAGTTTGGGCTTGGTTTCTCCCAATTGTTCCAGAAATATTTAGGAATTTAATAATTAGAAGTACAAAATATCTACCAGGGCCAGAAAATTCTTTCTCAATGAGGAATTAAGAAGCCACTCAAGTATTTAATTATTTTTTTCAACACTTTTATTTATTATTTTTTTCAATATTTTTGTTGAATACGTTTATGCAACACTTATTAAAATGGAAATGGAAAAAGTTGACAGCATATTGCATATTATCTCTCTCCATCCATCCAACCAGGTCAGAATGGAATGGAGTGGAGTGGAGTGGAGTGGAGTGGAGTGGAGTGGAGTGGAGTGAGTGGAGTGGAGTGGAGTGGAGTGGAGTAGAGTAGAGTAGAGTAGAGGAGTAGAGTAGAGTAGAGTAGAGTAGAGTAGAGTAGAGTAGAGTAGAGTAGAGTAGAGTAGAGTATCTTGGAGGTCTTCTAGTCCAAATCCCTACCCCAAATGGTATAGGGTCTATATGGTAGACCCTATACCATTTCAGATAAATGACTGTCAAATCTCTTGTTAAAAACCTCCAGTGATTTTTAACAAGAGATTGGAGCACCTACAACATTCAAAGGCAAACTCTTCTGCTGATAGACTTATTCTTAAAAACCTGCAGTAACGGAGTGCCCACAACTTCTGGAGGCAAGCTATTCCAATGATTAATTATTCTAACTGTTAGGAAGTTTCTCTTTATTTCTAGGTTGCTTCTCTCCTTCATTAGTTTCCATCCATTGTTTCTTGTCTTGCCTTCTGGTGCTTTGGAGAATAGGTTGTCTCCCTCTTCTCTCTGACAGCCCCTCAAATATTGGAACACTGCTGTCATGTCACCCAGAGTGACATAACAGCCTGCCTTTCCCTAGACTAGAGATACCCAACTCCTGCAATTGTTCTTTATATGTTCTAGCCTCCAGTTCCCAAATCAACTATTTCTATGAATTACTATGGCTGATGTTGAATTTAAAGAGTTGAACTAAATTTTAACTTCTTCAAATGCAGTCAGTTTTCATATTTGGAGGGATGGGAATTATTTTTAGTTCCTGTTTTCCCATGGTACATATTTAGAGAAATGGAATCACTTGCAATTTCTCTACTCCTGAACCAAGATTCTCTAACTGGGAATCATCCCATGCTGAAGGATCAACTTTATGGCTTTAAGCAGCATTATTAGGGCCTTAAAATTATCTGTAGTGTCATACATGACCAATTGTGTTAAAGCAAACCGCAAGGGTGCCAAAATGACAACACCAATCTTGGTGATCTTGGAGTCCTAGTAGACAACCACTTAAATATGAGCCAGCCATGTGCTGCAGCTGTCAAAAAAGCCAGCACAGTCCTAGGCTGCATTAACAGAGGGATAGAATCAAGATCATGTGAAGTGTTAGTACCACTTTATAATGCTTTGGTAAGACTACACTTGGAATATTGCACCCAGTTTTGGTTGCCACATTATAAAAAAGATGTAAAGACTCTGGAAAGAATACAGAGAAGAGCAATAAAGATAATTATAGGGCTGGAGGCTAAAAATATGAAGAATGGTGGTAGAAATTGGATACATCTAGCTTAATGAAAGAAGGACTAGAAGGACCAGGTGCAGAAGTGAGTTTCAGCAGGTTCTGATCAGTTCTGGAGAACCGGTAGCGGAAATTTTGAGTAGTTCAGAGAACCGGTAGTAAAAATTTTGACTGGCCCCGCCCCCATCTATTCTCTGCCTCCCGAGTCCTAGCTGATTGGGAGGAAATTGGGATTTTGCAGTAACCTTCCCTTGGATTGAGGAGGGAATGGAGATTTTACAGTATCCTTCCCCTGCCACGCCCAACAAGCCATGCCATGCCCACAGAACCAGTAGTAAAAATTTTTGAAACCCACCACTGATTAGGGGTGACACTACAGCAGTGTTCCAATATGTAAGGGACTGCCAGAAAGAAAAGGGGGTCAACCTATTTTCCAAAGCACCTGAGGGCAGGATGAGAAGCAACAGATGGAAACTAGTCAAGCAGAGAAGCAACCTAGAACTAAGGAGAAATTTCCTGACAGTGAGAACAATTAATCAGTGGAACGACTTGCCTCCAGAAGTTGTGGTTGCTCCATCACTGGAGATTTTCAAGAAGAGATTGGACAATCATTTGTCTGGAATGGTATAGGGTTTGGACTAGAAGACCTCCAAAATCCCTTCCAATTCTGTTTATTCTGTGATGTGTGTCCCAATACCTACATAAGTCACAGCATTTGCATGCCAACATCATTTCACA